AGTGAACTGCTCCGGGGTGAACTTGACCGGCCCGCTCTCCTTCCCCCCGGAAACAGAGCACCTGGACCTGTCTGGGGGTCACCTGCTCGAAGTTCCGGGCCCATCCCTGGGGTTCCTGTGGAAATTGCAGGTGCTGCTCCTGGGAGGCAACCGCATCAGCATGGTTGGCGAAGGGGCCTTCGGCGCGCTGGAGAGCCTGCGGAACCTGGACCTGCAGCACAACCAGATCTCTGTGCTGGGGAGCAGCTTCTCCACCAGCCTTGGCGCACTGCGGGAGCTCAGCCTGGCCTACAACCGGTTGCGGGAGCTCAAGGCCCACAGCTTCCGGCACTTCCAGGAGCTGCAGGAGCTGAGCCTCCAGGACAACGCCATCTCCTCTGGAGGCTGGAGGCTGACGCGCTTGAGGCAGCTCTGCCTCCAGAGCAATCAGCTCCAGCAGCTCCAGAATGGCATCTTCTCCATGCTCCAGCACCTGGAGGTCCTGGACCTCAAGGGCAACCAGATTCAGAGCATCACCCCGGGGGTCTTCAAGGCCCTGAAGAGCCTGGCGGTCCTCAACCTGGCCCACAATGCTCTGGGGCACATTCGCTTGCAAACCTTACTCTCCATCCAGACCCCAAGCACCTACGCACGCTAGCCCACAACCCCTGGGTGTGTGACTGTGACCTGCAGAGGGTCTTTGGCAAGCTGCACAGGGTGTCCTGGCTGATTCTGGCCACCTGCAGCAATGTGACCTGCCTGGAGTCCCTCGTCCTGCACAACCTGCCTCTGTCTCTGGTGGACACTCAGCTATGCACAGCCGAGATGGCCACCATGCTGGTCATCACCTTCACGTCTGCATCACAGCGGTTGCTGCCCTCGTCATGGCCAAGAGGAACTGGAAGAAGAGGACGGGCAAACACTGGAGTGAGGACAGCAAGATGGCCTACGAGGCCCCAGAGTGAAAGGAGGCCCTGGCCCCGCACTGCTTCGTCGGGGTCTCCAGTGACTTCTACCCAAAAATGAGGCTGGGTTAGCGCGTCCCCCTCCCCCAGCTCCTCCACATCCTTTTATATGGCAAAAGCCCAGGTGAACACATCAGAAAAATGACAGCGAGATTAGCCCTGCTTCTGCTTCACTTTGTAGAAGAGCTGGGAGAGACCCTAACTCGGTCCCCACCTCTGACCCTTCCGACCTGGGTGACCTCAAAGTCACCTGGCCTCCTCAGGCCTCCTTCTCTTCACTTGGACTCAACAGCCTCCAAGGTCCTTTCAGCCCAAAATCTATGATCCTACATCCCGAAAGATCATCTAAACGTGAAGTCAGGAGATCTGGCTTCGAATTCCACCTGAGAAACTAGTTATGCAAATATGGTCAGGTCAATGAAATACTCGAAACCTCAGTTTCCTTATCTGGAGAGAGAGAGAGAGAGACAGAGACAGAGATGGAGACAGACACAGAGACAGAGACAGAAAGAGACAGAGAGAGAATATGTGGCATTTACATGGCCATTTAAGGTGGGCAAAGCATTTTACAAGCATTAACTCATCTGAGCCTCATAACTACCCAGGGAGGTGCAAGCTATGAATATTATTGTTGTCATTTTACAGATGAGAAAGCCAAGAGGTTCAGAGAGGTTAAATGCCATACCAGCATCACACACCTTGTAAGCATCTGAGGCAAGATTTGAACTCGGGACTTTCTGACTCCAAGTCCAGCATTCCACACAGCCTTAGTGTCTTTATCTGTAAATCAGAGATAAGACTGTTGTTCAGTCACATCTGACTCTTCGTGACCCCATTTGGAGTTTTCTCCATGGAAAATGGAGGGGGTTGCCATTTCCTTCTGCAGCTCATTTTACAGGTGAGGAAACTGAGGCAAACAGAGTGAAGTGACTTGCTCAGGGACACACAGCTAGTAAGTGCCTAAGGGCAGACTTGAACTCAGAAGATGAGTCTTCCTGACTCCAGGTCAGATGCTCTGCACCACCTAGCTGCAGAGATAAGACTAGCCAACATTCAATCCAGCACATATCCACCATAGAGGGTTATTGTTCTGCACACCAACCTACTCTTCTTATGGGGAGAGAACCTACACACAATGAGGTGGTGACTTCTCCAAGGTCATACAGCTAGGAAATAGCAGAGCCAGCATGGGAATTCAAGCACCAGGCTGTTTGCTGACTCTCCCCGAAGCACAGGAAGGCTAAGAAGGAAGCTCACAAAATGTGGTATCCTTGGGGCCACCACACCCTTCTCCTTCACGGAAGATGGTACTGGGCTCATAGAACACTTGGACACCACCCCTAAAGGTCTTGAGGAGCTGAGTTTTCCAGCAGGCACGTGGGTTTTCTAGGGTGCCACTGAGGGGGTTCTGAAAGGGTTCCCAGTGTGCTTGGTGGGAGTGGTGGGGTCACTTTTATTAAGTGCTTTGAATGCTTCACAGGCTCATTCTGCTTGCTGTCACCCCTGAGTGCAAACAATTAAAGGTCCCAGCTTCTACATTCCCACACCCCCAGCCTCCTTGGGAGGTGGTAGAAGGAGACCACAGTGAAACGAGAGTTCTAGAGCAAACACAAGTCCTTCCATGACATCCCCAACAGGTGGGCATACAGCTGCTACTTGGATGTTTCAAGTGATGGGGAACTCACTCTACAAAGACAGCCCATTTCATTGTTAGACCAGTTTAATTATGAAAAGATTCTTCCTTGAACTGGGCCAAAATCTGCCTCCCTGTCATATTCACTCACTGACCTTTGTCTTAATCAGTGGAGCTACTCATGACACCTTTAGTCCCTTTTTCGTGTGAGGGCCCTTCAAATATTTGAATTTGGTCATCAGACTTTCATCATCACCTTTCTCTCCCTAGCACCTATTACAGGGCAGAATAGGCTTGTTGATTGATTTATGTATGCATGCACCCATGCACACGAGCATGCACACACACACACACACACACACACACACACATATGCACACACCCCTTTTCTTCTCTAGGATTCAACATCCTGAGCCTTTGGCTCTTTGGGATTGATGGGGTGTGGCCCAAGTTGAGGTCTTTGTTATCTCCCTTTGAAAGCCCTAGCCAATCAGAATTCTCATCCACACCCTTTTCCCAGACCCTCCCCTGATGAGCCAGAGTCATTTTAGTATATAAGATCTCCCCTGGCCCTCGTTAGGGGGGAGAATCTCAAGCTCAACAGGCTGAGATTTCCTTTTGCCTGCCTGGGCTTGTGTGTTTTATCCCTTTTAATAAACTTTTCCTCTGGCTGAAGATTTGAGTTGAATTCTTTCAGGCAGGGCCCGGTACGGCGATTTTGGGGTTTCCAGCACCCCAAAACCTCTAGACCTCTTCAGGATGAGCTTCAGTCTTGTCCCATATCTAAGAAACAATTCCATCATGTGCTCTGCTCTAAGCAGAACAGGATCAGGGGAATTATTGCTGTCTACTGCCCATGCCAGGATAATTTGCTTCTACAATGCAGCCTACAGTCTTTTGAGGTTTGTAAGTGACTTGCCCAGGGTCACACAGCTAGTAAGTGTCAAGTGTTTGAACTCAGGTTCTCCTGACTTCAGGGCCTATGCTCTATCCACTGTACCACCCAGCTGCCCCTTTTTGTTTGTTTTTAAGCAGCCCCTTGACAGTGTCAGCTCAGAGAGTTATGAGTACACTAAGTCCCCCCACCCCAGCTTTGTCACACAAGACGCCTTCAAACTAGACTTCCTTAATTGTTTGCAAAAGATGGTTTAAGCCTTTTGTGGGAGGCCCGGTTTTCAGGGAAGGTGAATTCTTGTCAGACGCTTTGACAAAGTGGGATCTGTGTTGTTTGCTAGTGGCTGCAGCCTGCTTCAAGCGTTGCCTGATTTTACAAAACAAAGCCAGAAGAAACCCGATAGGGCAAAAGCCTCAGATTATAGTGGAAAAAGAGCCTTCCTGAACGACTCAGAGGGCCTGAGTGGACAGGCCTGCGACAATAGATGGAGGAAAGATCCATAGTTCTGCTGCATGGAATGAGAAAGCCTCAGAAGGCTGGCTCAGAGTTTGAATGGACCTCCAGATAACTCTACACGGCATCCTCTGCCAAGGAGACCTTTATCTCCATTGAAATGCTCTTGTTTCCAGTTCATCTCTCTGCCCTGATGTTCAAATTATTTAGAGCCAAGTTCCTATTGCAACGCCCAATGCTGTCCTATGAAATATGCAGAAAACAGGAGGCCCCCTAAGGGCTATGAGAGCAGCACAGCCACCTGCCCGAGCCCCAGCTCTTGGCCACCCCCCACTTACCACTCGGGGAGTTTTAAAAAGACCAGAGGAGAAGAGACACGAGGAATGGTGCTTTTATTTGATGAGAGTACAGAGTCCACTGCCAACCCAGCCATGACTTTCCAAAGCTGGCCCCCAGTTACAAAATTCAACAAAGCAGAGAACACTCCAGTTTCCATTTTCTAACCAATCCTTCCTTGCATCTGTGACTTTGCAAAACGGTCCCACCTGGAATCCAGGGTTTGCTGATGCCAGATGAGGATCTGATGTTTGGCTGAGAGCACGTGATCCTCTGGGACAAATGAAGACTGACCAGTCCCGGCCAGGGCCGAGTGCCCCTCACTCAGTTTGCCACAGTGGGGGAACCACAGGAGCGGCATCTCTCGACTTGCCTCGTCTTATCCAACCACGTAACCAAGACCGCAAAGGACAATTCCACAAAACTGAAGGAGAGGGTCCCAGAGTGGGGACCAAACCTAACCTCTGAGGAGAAAAGGAAGCGTGTCCATCTGCCAGTCAGCAAACTCCTGAAGCATGAAGAGTCACTGGGGAGCTGAGTAATGCGCCTGGTGCCAGCAATGGTCATCTGCTCCAAAGTTAGGCCAAGCAGGTGCATTAGTAATTGTCTAATCGGGGAGCTGATGTTCAAGCTTTGATGAAGAGTGATGATCCCCACCCCCATGGGGCAGCTAGGTGGCACAGTGAATAGAGCACCAGGCCTGGAGTCAGGAGGACCTGAGTTCAAATCTGGCCTCAGACACTTGACACTTACTAGCTGTGTGACCCTGGGCAAGTCACTTAACCCCAATTGCCTCAACCCCCCCCCAAAAAAAGAGTGAAGACCCCTTAAGTAAATTGTAAGCAAGTTGGAGGTTGCTTTCACTGGTTGGTTGTTTTTGCTTTTTTTCAAGAGCAAGACCAGCTATTTATGAAGGTCAGAGCTAGAAGGACAAAACATGTCACTTCATTCTACTGCCCAGGGGAGAGACTTGCCCAAGGTCACAGGGCAAAATGTGAGAAGAAAGAGGAGCAGAATCAAGGTCTTCTGATCCCTGCTCCGGGGCACTTTCCACTGTAGTTACGTGCTGCCCACCTCTCTGCCTTATCACAGCTGTTCTCACCACCAAAAGATATACTGAAATACTGAGAGAAATTTCGGGAGTCAAGTGACTCACCCAAGAGGAATGGCTGTTGAATGAATGAGTAAATGAATGAATGAACTAGGGAATGAGGGAATGCATAAAGGGCTTGGAATTCTTTTATAACTTTTATGACAGATTAAAGTTAATACTTCCAGCATTTATAAGGGTGCTAATAAGACACATCAATGTTTGACCTGCTTTGGTTCTGTTAGTTATATTTGTATTATTCGGTTGGTTTCTAATGACTTATCAGGAAAACCCACTCCTACATACCCTTGGCAATTCTGCACCTAACAAGCATTGATTAAGCCCTTGCTGTGTGCATGGTACTATGCTTGGGCTGAAGTAACAAAGCTGGAGGACAAAGCCTAGTGCTCCAGGGGCTCAGCTCCCTGGGAGAGGCGACACAAATACTCCCACTTGTCCTGGTTTGCAGAGTTGTGTGTTGATATTATCTAATTACGTTGGTTTCCCTTTCTGGCTATTGCAAGCAAATTTCAGGATGGGAAACCACTTGGCCATCCTGGGGCAACACTCCATATTTTAAAGTAAAATAGAGCTGGAAGCTTAGAGGGAGCTGTGGAAACTTCAAGGGAACTTCATGGTCATCAGGGCTATGTGTGCTCCCCACGTCCCATGGAAGGCTCAACCACCCTAAATCAAGCCCCTTGCCTTCCCTTAGCACTCACAAAAGGAAGAGAGGCCTTCTCTGCAGGTTGTGGTTGGCCATTGGGTGTGGACCTAATGGGACAGTGGGAGGGCCCGAAGTTCTCTATGGGGAGGGATGACAAAGACAGGCTGCCAGGAGAGTGAAGAGGAGGCACTTTGAGCTGTCCTGGCAGAAACTGTTTCTCTTCACGAAGCATGTCAAACTTCCTACTAAGTAAACTACTTGGGGGCTGGCCAGCTGGGGTCCTACCAGACCACAAGCTCTGCTTTGCTGCTTTGCTTAAAATTCCAGTGGATCTTTGCTTGATTTTCGTGACAGATGGAACTTCCTGGGAGCTTCACTCATGTTCAAAAAATTCGTGGCATGCAGAGGTGATCACGGCGATGAAGGCCACAAATTCCTGGAAGTCGCACTCAGCATCTCCATCAGCATCCAGAGTCTCCATGACTTTGTCCACTGTCTCCTGCTCCTTGATCTCCTGAGGGAAAGAATGGGGGCCCCAGGTTAGCAAAAATAGAGATCACCCAGCCCTTACAGTGGAGGAGCCACTGGGGTCGGAGGCCCCCAGATCGATCAAACCCCAACTCAGCTGCCTTTGACTGCCAGTCCGGGCCTCAATTTCCTCATCTGTGAAAGGGGAGAATGCGACTAGATGCCCTCAGATGTCCCTTTCAGCCTTAGATCAATGACCCTAAAGGCCTTCGCCTCAGTTTCCTCATTTGTAAAATGAGTGGGTTGGAACAGGCAGCCTTTAACGTCCTTCTCAGATCCAGAGCCAGGATCCCTCTCCTCAGTCACAGAGTACCCGCCATGGGGGCAGATGTCAAGCTATGGACAGCTTCTGGTCATGCAGGACTCCAGGCTGCAACCCCTCCACCTCTCCTGCCTGACACGCGCGGGCTTTCCCTCCTTAGGTGTGAGTCTCAGGACTCCCTGTCCTTCTATCTATCCTGTTACTCACCTGCCTTCTCATCCAGGTGCACGTTTCCCAGATAAGGCTCTGACACTTGTGGATAGATCCAGGAAGACCTGACTTCAGGCCCCTGCAATGTCAGGCCCACCTGCCCAGCTCAGGGAAGAGCCCCTCCCCTCAGGGCCAGGCCCAACCCTGAACCTGTGGCAGAGGAGAAGGCCTACTTGTTCCCTCCTAAGCTGGCTCCAATGACTCATTGCATCTGAGGACAGCTTGAACCCACAGAGCTAATTATAGCATCCCAGGATGCAGTCAGTGTAACTAGGCCCACATCCAAGGCACAGAAAACAGGGCTCAAAGGCTTAAGGGGGTGGGGGGACCGTGGCAACACCCATTAAGTGGGAGGAAACACAGTCACGCGGTTTCAGAGGGCGTAGACCACCATCTACCATACATTCCCTCATTTACAGCAGATGGCTCCAAGGCTCTCACAATTTGGGGTTTTGTTTTATTTCTGGATTTTCTTTGGAGAGGTGTCTTCTTTGCTGGCACAGTGCTGGGCTTAGTGTCAGAAAGATCTGGGTTTGAACCTTGCCTCCAACACAAGTTAGCTGTGTAACCTTGGGAGAGCAGTCACCTCCAAAGCCTCAGTTTCTCATCAGGAAAATGGGCCCAAGAATAGAACCTGCGGTAAAGTGCTTTGTATTGCTGTCAGACATTGCTGAAAAGCTCCAGGAATGCTAGCTCACCATCACCACTGGCATCCCTAACTTCCCTTGAAGTGCAGAGGGAATGGAGCCCCAGCAGCCCAGCCCAGCCGGTCTGGGAGGGTCAGAAGTGGGAGAGGACCAGGGAGGTGACACTCACCCCTAAGAAGTGGGAGAGTTCATTATTGATGAGTTCTTTGAGCTCTGACTTCTTCAGCTTATGTTTGTCACCCTCTTTCCCGGAGTACTGGTGGAATGTCTCGATGATGGCCATCATGGCTTTCTCCAGGTCCGACATGGTGGATCAGATCCTCCTGGACACAACGGGATGAGAAAACACACCATTTCTTTAGGCATCTTGCCAGTCCTGTTTGCATAGCTGTCCCTTCTACTCTGCCCCCAGCCCCGACATTTCTAGTCACTGGGTGTGAGTGTGAGGATGATGACAATCCTGACATCGCAATGGTCACAGCAAGTCCTTTCTGACGGCTTTCCCACCAGTGACCTCTTTAGTCCATCTCAGGGGGTCAGAGGTCCTCCAGGATAAACCAGCAGGAGATCAAGAACTCAGCTCCTCTGGCCCCACCCTTTCCCTTATCCCCCAAGGAGGTTACAAATGGAAGAAATGGGACCCAAACCTGGCTCCTCTCACTCCACCAGCACCCAGGGAATAATCAAACCTTCAAGAAAAGGAAAACTGCCCCAGGCCAAAAGGAAGGCCAGGGAACCCAAGGTCCTGCCTGGGTATTCTAAAGAGACTGGCTGTTTCTCCTAGGGAAAACTGTTTCCTTCATAACACCAATTAAATTACTCTTTTCAGGTTTAGACGATGTGGAGTGGAAAATGACCTGAAGTGTCCCCTTGTGAACAGTCCCCTGGCACCATTCTGGGCTCTCTCCGGACAGAATCCTAGCCAAGAAGCCCAGACGAGCGGCGGCTAACCCCTGCCCCCGACCCAGCCCCTGCTCCGAATTCTAGAAGCCCCCAACCCAGGTCCTGCCTGACCCCTGATGCGAGGGACCCTGCCACGCTGCTTGGACCTCCAGGCACCTTCACGAAGGGGCACGGGCCTACCTATATTTCCTCCTTTCTCTGACTTTACACCAAGGACCTTTTTTTTTTAGGGGGAGTGGACGGAGTGGTGGCAGAGACCCGGGCAGAAAGGGACTCGAGGAAGAACGAAGTAGGGCTTCACGGAGGAGGCAGCGCTTGACTGGAAAGTAAAGTCAGCTTTCCCTTCCCTGAGACAAGCCAGAGACTGGCCCACACATGGGGCTCAAACCCCATTTAGTCTTTTCCTCTCCTGGGCCTTGGTTTCCTCATCTGTAAAATGGACTTGGTGGCCCCACATCCACGATCCTAAGAGTTAAACAAACCAACCTGAAGAAGCGGACTCCCCACTCAGGGGTCCCTCGCAGGGTCGGCTGCTCTTCACAAGGAGCCGGAGGCCCCGGCCAGGGCTGGAGGAGAGACCCGGCAGGGCTCCTACACAGCTCTGTCCTGCTGGGGGGCCTCTGGGTCACCACGGCTCCAGGAGCTCATTCCCACCAACGCCTAATTAGATCCCTCTGGCCATTTCGGACTGGACAGCTTCCCCCTCCCAGAGCCATCCCTTGGGACAAAGAATCAATAAGGAAAGAAAGCAGTCTGGCAAATGCAAGCGCAGACCACAGGCTGCCCTCCCAACTCGACCCCACCAAGGGGCCAGCCCTTTTTCAGTCCCAACGGGCATGTGTTCTTTGAACCTTAGGAGAGAGGCAGTGATGCCTAGTGGATAGAGCGCTGGATTGCCATGGGGCTAGGAAGCCCTGGGTTCAAATCCTCCCTTAGCGACTTCCTAGCCGAGTGATACTTGGGGAATCACTGGGGCCTTTGTGGCAGCTGGGGCTCAAAGGCAGTAACAGCTGTAAAGCGCCCTGCAGACTTCTGGGGCCCTGTAGATGTCAGCTGTGCTTATCCATCCAATGTACAATGTCACATTACAGAGATGACCCAGGACAGGCTTTCGCATTGCCAATTGCCCTATCACTATCCATTCAGCTTGTAAGTTTTCTGCTCAGGAAAGCCATAGACCAATTCTTGGTCTGGTAGGGATTTCCATAGTCAGTCCTCAGAGAGTTATTAGCAGTGTGACCCTGTATAAGTCACTAGCTTTCTCTGGTCCTTCATTTCCTCAACTGTAAGATGAGGGAGCTGGACTCAATGACCTCTAAGGGCCTGTCTAAATCTAGACCTAAGACTCCAGCCCTGCCCAGCCCAACCCTGCCTAGCCCAGTACTGCTCTGCCCAGACCAACTTAGCTCTGCTCTGTCCTGCCCTGCTCAGCCCAACTCTGCCCTGCCCAGCCTAGCCCAACCCTGCCCAGATAAGCCTAGCTCTGCCCTGCCCAACCCTGCCCAGATAAGCCTAGCTCTGCCCTGCCCAGCCCAGCCTAGCTCTGCTCTGTCCTGCCCAGCTCTGCCCAGCCTAGCTCTGCCCTGCCCAACCCTGCCCAGATAAGCCTAGCTCTGCCCTGCCCAGCCCAGCCTAGGTCTGCTCTGTCCTGCCCAGCTCTGCCCAGCCCAGCCCAACCCTGCCCTGCCCAGCCCTACCCAGTCCTTCCCTCCCCTGCCCAACCTCTCCACACTTCTATCAAATATTCCACACTGGCCGAATTTCTTCACCACGCATGAAAGTCAGAACTTTTTCTTAACTCTACATTTTCTTGGTCTTTCCTTTCTTCCTGGGAATGTTGGACATAATTTTTTCTTACCTCTTCTGAAGATCTTTCTCTGCCTACTCTGACCTCTCAAATAGATGAGAAAAGGAGGAAAGCATGAGAGCCATGCCCCTCCCCCCAAGAAGCTGGACTCCCCTTAGGGATGATGAAGGGGAGAGGCCCACAGGCCAAGGGTTCTGCTCTCCCAACTAAGTAGCCCTGCTCCTTAAGTGCAGAGCGCGGGTTTTCTCCAGCCGTCCAGAGGCTCCTGGGCAGCGCCCGGGGGCAGAAGTGCACCTGGCACCGAGCAGGGGCTCTGTAAATGCTGCGCTTGATACCAGTGTCATCGCAAGTGCGGGACAACCGCGGTGGCAGCAGTGGTGCCCCAGCTAGGTCCATGGATGAGGCCAGACCAGAGAAAAGAGAATTAGAAACTGTCCCTTGATCGTGAGCCAAGACAGTCTGAAGAATGACCTGGGGGCCGTGGAGGGGCGAGGGTGAGGTGCTGGACCAGATGGCCCTTAGGGTCCCTCACACCCCAGATCTGGGACCCAAAGAACTTCTCTGGGAGTCCCAGCTATTTCAAAGTTTCCTTCTGGCTCTCAAATCCCAGGAGTGCTAAGTTCCCTTCAGGCATGGGAGTGAGAAAAGGAAGAGAAAGTTTCAAAGGAAAGGCAGGGGCTTTGTTCCGGAGCCAGGATCCAAATGACAGTCAGAGCCACCTCCGGGAAACCTGGGCAAACTCCCGCGCACTGGCTTCTCCTGGGAAGAGCCCCTGCCCAGAGACCCCCGACACTGGGTGCTCACCGGGTCCCAGAGAGCCAAGCCCACCTGCACCCTCAGCCAGCAAGCGAGTACAGAGAAAAGAAATTGGACACGGGTGGCCGAGAACTAGAAAACCCGCAAGCCCCACCCGCAGCCCCGCGGCAGGGGCTCCGTACTGGCCCAGTCCCCCACTTACCTTCCTGCTGGTGGTTTTTCTCTCACTGTTTTCCTTGTGGCTGGAGAAAGGCACCAGACACTGGCTACTTATTCGTTTCCTAGGGGTGGAGAAGGTCTATTGACACCAGTGCAGCCCTGCTGCAGAGGGGAGCCAACCAATGAGGGCCGCGAGAGGAGGCCTGGGGTAGGAGGGAGCCAGCTGGTTCTTGGACCGCCCTGAGGGCAGCCAGTGGCCTGGCACACAAGAGAGCATTGACAAAGCAGGGAAACCACATGGGCCACTGTGGGTGCTATGAGCTGATACACTGAGAAGGAAAGAAAAGAGGGCCTGTTATCTAGAAATGTGGAGGTCAGCTTTTTGTTTCATAGGGTATTTCTTATGAAAATTTAAAAACGGGCCTCCTGGGGTAGAAGAAGAGAAGGGGGAGGGGAGAAGAAAGAGAAAGAGAAGAAAGAGATAAAAAAGAGAGAATAGAGAAAGGAAGGGAGGGAGGGAGGGAGGGAGGAGAGAGAAAGAGATAAAAAAGACAGTAAGACAGAGAAAAAGGAAGGAAGGAAAGTGGGAGGGAGGAAGTGAGGAAGGAAGGGGGAGACTAAGGAAGAAAGGGGAGGGAGGGAAGGAAAGAAAGACAGACACAGACAGAGACAGACAGACCTGAAGGGAGTGACAGAGTCAGAAAAATAGAGATTGAAAGAAGGTGAGGAAAAAATGAGAAAACAGACAGCTTCAGAGGGAGGTCCCAATCCATGCTCAGTCAGAGGCTCTGGACAAGCAGAAATGTTCCATCTGGTTTCCTATGAAAAAGGCTCCAAAAGCTGCCCTCTTCTCTGCTTCCCTCCTCTGCGGCACTCCCCTCAGTGATCGAGGCTGCAGGCACCCCCAAAAGGCTTTCCACAAGGTATTTGCTTCTTTCTGGGCATTCACGTTCAGCACGGACCGACCGGTTCTAGATCTGAGCCCAGACTCAGCTGCCCTGGGAAGCTGTTTAAGCCCAGTGCCTTGCACACGGCAGGCTTTCACTCAGTGTTTAATAAATAAAAAAAAGTAAACAATTTAGAAAATGTAACAAATAGAATACTGTATATAAATCCAGATAACATCATCTAACCGCAGAGCAAATTAATGACAAAACAGAAAGGCTGGGAGGCCCTGGGAGACCCTGGGGGGCCCTGGGGACCCTGGGGGGGCTCTGGGGGACCCTAGGGGGCCCTAGGAGCAGCACCAGGTTTGGAGTCTGAGGACCTGGGTTTAAATCCGGGCTCTTCCATGGGCACCTGGGTGACCTTTGACCTAGCCTTCAACTTCTCTGGGCCTCAGTTTCTTCCTCTGGAAAATGAGAAAGTGGCTTCCAAGGCCCTTTCTGGCTCTAAGCCCATGATCCTAGGAAATCTTACCAGATCAGTGGCCTCCCTGGCCAACTCTCAAGGTTGGAGAGTTATTTTAAGTTTGCCCCCAATAAATGGGAAGGTTCTGATTGGCTTCTGGGAAGAACAATGCCTCAAAAAAGAAGAGTTTAGTTTAGCTGAGGTCTGTGGCCAGAAGGTAGGAAATCTAGTTAATACCAGCTGTGTGGAAGCATCCCCCACCCGCTGTGCCCACGATCAAAAAGGCAGCTCTGACAAGGCCCCAGACCCTTCCCTAACCCTTAGCTTGGGCAGAGCCAGGAGGTGAGTGCTAGAGGATGACAGTGTCCCATAGTTTCTGTTGTCACCAATTTTCGTGGTGGGGGCCTGCTGCTTTCAAACTACGGATCATCAGTAAGAGGGCCTGGCACTGGTTGCCTCCAGGCCCATGCTACGGTCTCCCGCTTATCACTGACTAACGCCAGAGCCATAACCAGAAGTTTGAGCACCCAGGGAAAGCAGCACCTCCAACTCCACCTCATAATTCAGTTAGGTGATACCTGGGCTCAGGGTAGATCTGAGCTCAAAAGCAGCCTCAGATACATACTAGCTGTGTTACCCTAGGCTAGTTTTAACCTCTGCCTGCCTCAGTTCTCTCAACTATAAAATGGGGATCATAATAACATCTCCTCCCCATCGTTGTTACGAGGATTGAGATAATATTTCTAGAGTGTTTTGCAAATCTTAAAATGCTATATAAATGTTAGTTATTAATTTTAGAGGTAATTAAGATAGATTAATTTAAATTAGAAGAGAGACATAGGAGCAGCTAGGTGGCACAGTGGATAGAGCTCCAGCCTTGGAGTCAGGAGGACCTGAGTTCAAATCTGGCCTTAGACACTTGACACTTACTAGCTGTGTATCCCTGGGCAAGTCACTTAACCCCAATTGCCTCACCAAAAAGAAAAAAAAAGAGAGAGAGAGAGAGAGAGAGAGAGACATCAGTACACTGCCCCTTATGGATAGAGATCTTGGACGCTTGCCTTGTGGTGTGCAGGCCCCAAAGTCTGTGAGGCCACTGCTGGGGCAGAGGAGAGGTGGGGAGTGGAACCAAGGGAGGGCGTGGCCAAAGAGGTGCTCCAAAGGGGTGCAGCTCCTTTGGAGAGAAGGTAAGCAATCTGATAGCTTCCTAGCTTAATTATTCTTGCATTTTGTACTGCTTAAGGAGTTAGGTATTGTTATAATGTAGAGGAAACAATGTAAGAATTGCTCAAACTTTCAAAATCATGAACTTACATTTTTTCGCACCCTGTAAATGTCAGCACCCAGCGATAAGGGCTTGATCATCCCGCCCTACTCAGGTTTTGGCTGGCTTCGCATCTCAGACTTGACTCATGCCTCTCATGAGCACCAAGAGCCTCTAATGAGTCCAGTCCTGTGCTAAGTAGACCTTGTGGGGGGACGTGGAAGAAACTGAAGCATGCTCCCTGCTCTAAGGCCATGCAAGTGCGAAGCGCCTTTCCTAGTCAGGCTGTCTGGGCTCCATGCAGCAGGAGCCCAGATATTCTGTTGGAGGAAGCTCTGCATCACAGTCAACTTCATTCGGAAGGGTGAACTGCGCATGATGTGGGTGGCAAGCGCCCACCCACCACCCTGAGCCCAGGGTGTGCAATAAGGGACCACGTTAAGTGCAACAACCAAGAAATCACCAATTGCATTCTGTCGTCTGTGAGGAAAAAGAGGCTTTGCTGCACAGTGAGCGTTGAGTTCTGGCCACCAGCCCATCGCTGACTCACGTCCTCCTTTAGCTCCAAAGCCTTCTGGCTGGTCCTGGCCTGCAGAGCCCAAAGGGGTTGCTGCTGACCTGGAAATCTTCTCGGAGATGGGACAGGACATCCAACAAGTTATTTGGTCTCGAAAGACCCTAACCCAGCAATTCAGGTCTGGTTTCCATAATGGCTTTCCAATTGGATGCGTCTTGGGAGAGAACACTCATCAAATGAGTGCTGGCAAGGATGGCTTTCTAAGTGACAGTTGCAATGAGGAGAAAGCTCTCAATATAACCAGACCCCAGAGAGAGCAGGACCAGGAGCCAGAGAACCTACCAGGATGACATCATGCTGTGCCTGACCTTACTGGGGTGGGGCAAAGACCTCCCCACGCCAGAAGACTCTTTGGAAGAACTACAGAAGAAAGTGGGACGGGCACCTTCAGTGGCATGAATGGAGTGGAATCTGGCTCCTGCGTCTCCAGCATTATTCCCCACTGCTCCGCTCCCCACGCTTGGTGGTCCAGCCATGATGATGTTCTGGCCATCATTCCACACAGCCATCCCCCCTCACCTCCACCTCCTTAATGTCCCTCAGGACTACCTCAAGCCCCGCTTGCTACATGAAGTCTTTGCTGATGCTCCCAACTGCCCCAACAAGCTTGTACTGAGCAGCATGGATTCCTTTGGTTTCATTCTCTTAACACTTATTCTGCCTATATGTAAAGGTCCTTGTAGTGCCCATTAGAGCCTCATGCTCTGAGCTCACCCACCTTGTGAGGAAGAACTGCTTTTTATTGCAGTTGTATCGCTGGGTCCTAGCACAGCCCCTGGCACACAGTAGGCACTTAATAAATGCACACTGATTGTATCACCTGCCTTTCACCAGGATGCCATCAAAGACAGCTATCCATGAAAGCTGCCGCTGAGACGGGCCTCAGAAGCGAAGTCATCAGGCCCCGTGCACGGGCCTGAGTGGCACGCCTTCCTTCGTGAGCTGTGAAGGACCCCTGGCTCACTGGCCTAGAGAGAGGTCTCATCTCCATCCCACTGCCACACTCGCTCTTGCCCCCAAAAGAGCAGGGACAAGAAGTCCTAGGTGGTCCCGAGTTTATTCCCTGGGTATCTGAGGCTGCCCAGTCTAACCTCTTGCACCCACCACTGCCCTTTCCTCTTTTCTTCTGCAGGGAAGGTCACCCTTTTTGGCCCACCTCCCTCACCCTATGCACAGAGGACATTGTACCAAGAGCATCGAGCCCCATGTCTCTCCAGGACATCCGTGACAACCCGCCTTTATGGTCAGCAAAGGGCTTTTGCTCTCCCCCATCCACCCCTCTGCACACCCAACCTCAGTAAAAAGACATAGTTATTTAAAAGAGTTGAGCTCAACATCAGCATCAGAAGCCCCAAATGGCTGAAAATGCCCTTTGCCATGAGGCTGTAAGCGAGGCCAAGAGCTGATCTGCCAACGATCGTGGTCACGTCCAGCGCTGGAGGGATTCTAGAAGCATTCACGAGGCCAAAAATACTGTAATAATGCGGAGGAAGCCAAGTGGCCTGATGGTCATAGCCTCAGTAAAAGCCAGCCTTTCTACAGAGCTCTAGGGTTCATGAAGCTCTGTTGAGATGCCATCTCATTGAATGGTCGAGGCTGCCATTAGCTGCATTTCACAGATGAAGAAACAGAGGCTGAAAGAAGTGGACTTGGGATAAGATTGAACTGAGGCTTTCTGCCTCCAGCAGGACACTGCTCTGTCCACTACACCACCTTAGCTGTTCTGAGTGCTGGGCCTGCAGCTGAGAAAACAGGAGCCCTAACCCTGACTCTGACCCTTCCTGGCTGTGTGATGGTGGGTGAATCACTTAACCTCGCTCATCTCAGGATCTCATCTGTGAAATGGGGACAATAGCAGCACCTATCTCCTAGGTTGGTGTGAGGATCAGATGAGCTCCTTGCAGAACCTGAAATGCTATAGAAATGTCAGATAGTATTAGCGTGGCAGGTGAAAGATGAA